GCTGAGAACCGCACCGGCAGCGCGGCGGGACGGACCCCGCGGCCGGTACCGGTGTCCCCGGTAGCGGTGCCCGGTGTGAGGCTGTGCAGAGGGGACGGGGTCGCTCCCGGTGCCGCTCCCGGTGCCGCTCCCGGTGCCGCTCCCGGTGCCGCTCCCGGTGCCCCCATGGCCGGGAGGGGGCTCGGGGTGACGGGCACAGACCCCGGGGCTGGGATGGGAACGGAGTCGCGACCGCGGCAGCGGGAACCGGAGAGACCCCGGTGCCATTCCCGTACCGGAGCTGCTGCCGGTGCCGGTACCGGTGCCAACCCCCCTGCCCTCCGCAGAGCACGATGACCGTGTCGGTGGCCGAGGCTTCCCGGGGCGGCGGCGGAAGGGCCGGGGGCCGTTCCGGGGGAAGATGTACAGCGAGGTGACCCCCCGGAGCCGCCCCCGCCGCGCCCGCCCCGACGAGGACGACGGAGACGTTCCCATGGCCGAGCCCCACGACGGCCCCCGCGGGCGATAGTGAGTGCGGGCCGCTCACCGGAGCGTTACCGGGGGGGTTCCCGGCGGGATCGGGGGGTTCCCGGACCATCCCGGGGTTCCCAGAGGGTTCTGAGGGGGTCCCGGGGGTTTTACCGGGAGCTCCTTGGGGGTCCCGGGGCAGTACCGGGAGCTCCTTGGGGGTCCCTGGCTTTTACCGGGAGCTCCTTGGGGGTTCCCGGGGGGTCCCTGGCTTTTACCGGGAGCTCCTTGGGGGTCTCGGGGGTTTACCGGGAGCTCCTCGGGGGTCCCGGGGGTTTTACCGGGAGCTCCTTGGGGGTCCCGGGGTTTTACCGGGAGCTCCTTGGGGGTTCCCGGCTGATCCCGGGGGGACCCAGGGATGCTGTGAGGGTTCCCGGGGGTGTTCCCGGGGGTGTTCCCGGTGCTCCCCGGTTGATTCCCCGCTGTTCCCAGTGTCCCGTACGCGCCGCGCTCCGGCCGCCTGGCCAACATCAACATCACGGTGAAACGGGAACCGGGAGAGCGCGGGGGCGGCTCCGGCAGGGACGGGGGCAGGAGGAGCTGGTTCAAAATCACGGTGAGAGGGGCGGGAATGGGATCGG